ACGAGCATTGTGTCTTAGTTGGGGTTTTACTGCTACAAAGAGACACCATGACCATGGCAACTCTTATAAAAGAAAACATTTCATTGGGGCTGGCTTACAATTTTAGGGGTTTGGTCTCTTATCGTCACTGTAGGAAACATGGCAGCACGCAGGCAGACATGGTGCTGGAGAGACAGCTGAGAGTTCTACATCTGAATCCACAGGCAGCAGGAAGTGAACAGTGACACACTGGCAAGGCTTGAGCTTCTGAGACCTCAAAGCTCGCCCCCTAGTGACATAACTCCTCCAACAAAGCCATACCTCCTAACAGTGGGGGAAGGTAGATCCTTGCAGCTGGTCAATCTAGCCTACTTGGGTGAGCTCTAAGCCAATGAGAGACTCCGTCTCAAAAATCAAGGAGGGTACTGGTAATGTCACTCCACCAAGTGAAAAAGGGTTTGCTACACAGCCTGACAACCTGAGTTTGATCTCTGGAACCTATGTGAAAAAGCCAGGTGTGGTGGCATGCATCTGAAATCCAATATTCCTCTATTGAGGAGGGAGGCAGAGGCAGGCAGGAGGCTCACCCAGAAGCTTCCAAGCACAGTTATCCTGGAGTCCACATACTGACAGGGGAGACAACAGAGTCCAGAAAGTTGTCCTCCAATCTCCATAGGTGGACTGTGACATGAGCATGCGTGTACTCACATACATGCATCACATACCATGGTTTCTGGCCTCTGCCTGCCTGAGTACACAAATGCTCTCCCTCCCTCCCTCTCTCCCTCTCTCCCCCCCCTCTCTCTCTCTCTTTCTCTCTCTCTCTCTCTCAACCTAACTGCACTGGTACCTCTACCCTGGCACAGGGCCTCTCTCTAGAGAAATCTGTCTGCCCAATCAGGCTGAAGGGTAGCAGAATTCAGCAGTTGCCGGCACACAGGAGGCACTCCATGAGGTGGCATTTATGAATCATCCTCAGTTATGTATCATGGACCTAGTGGTAGCCTAGGCACTAGACTTAAGTCCTAGAGGTTAAGAAAGTGTGAGTATATGTCACCGTGATTGGTTTAATAAAGATACTGACTGGCCAATAGCTGGACAGGATCAGGTTAGGTGGGAGAGCCACATTGAGAATGCTGGGAAGGAGAGGGGCAGAGTCTAGAGTCACAAGCAGACACAGAGAAAAGCAGGTTTGCCGTACTGAGAAGAGGTACCAAACCACGTGACAAAGCATAGATAAAAGATGTGGGTTAATTTAAATGTAAGAGCTAGCTACTAACAAGCCTGAGCTATTGGCCAAGCACTTGTAATTAATATAAGCCTCTGTATGGTTATTTGGGAATGGCTGGTGAGACAAAGACTTCTACCTACAAGAGCCTTCAGTGGGTGAGGCCTGGTGGAAGGAAGTTTGTCTTTGGGAGGGTGTGTCTTTGATGCCGCCAAGGGGTGATACCTCTCTTTGATTCCTGGCTACCACATAGGAGCCTTTTCTGCCTCACATCCCTGCTGTGACCTGTATGTTGTCACTAAGTAATGGGACAAAACAACATGGAGGGAGAACTTCCAAAACCCCAAGCCAGGGAAACGCTCCTCATTTGAGCTGATTAGCTTAGCTTTTGTTTGTTTGTCTGTGTTATTTTGTCACAATGATGGAAAGCTAGCCAACTTGGGGACATCCCCTGTTGCTGGAGTTAAAGTCTCATTTATGTTGCTATGAAAATTCAAAAAATGATTTAGGGAGGAAAGGATTCATTTGGCTTGCAATTCCAGGCTACAGTCTGTTACCCAAGGGAAGTTCAGGCCAGAACTTGAGGTACCACATCCACAATCAAGAGTGGCGAGGGAATAAACACAGCATCCTTGCTTGCTGGCTGCCTCTGCTCAGCAAGTGTTCTTCACTGAGCTACAGCTCGGGGTCCAGCTCATGAAATAGCACCGCCTGCATTCATGTGGGGTCTTCCTGCCTCAATCACTGAAGACAATCCCCCCTCCGCCCCTGAACACCCGCTGGCTAACCTGACCGCCATAGCTTCTCAACTGAGACCCCCTTCTCAGATGGGTCTAGACTGTGCAAGTGGATTTTAAAACCAGCCATCTCATATGGTGAGAGAGGTCCTTTTGGAGGGCAGGCTGAGCAGAGTGTCTGGCTATCTCCTTAGACACTGTCCCTCTCCTACTCTAAGCCATTCATGGCAGGGTACCTGTAGGAAGGAATCAACCCCTGTCTGGAACACAGGGAGCATTGGAGAGGGGCTTTAGCTCTCTTAGACTTGATGGGACATTTTCTGCAGGAGGTGGCTTCTGAGTCAGAGATAACAGAGTTGGGGAGACACCAGGCAGTAAGAACAGCATAGTCTAATTTATGGCTGTATCTCCCCACAGGCAATGGCTTCCAAGTTTGTTGCTAGAATTTTTCTTCCCAGTGTGGTCCCACAGCCATTTAGCCCCAAATAAATACACAAAGACTTACATTAATTATAAAACTATTGGCTGATGGCTAGAGCTTCTTATTGGTTAGCTTTGCCTTAATTATTAACCCATAACTATTAATATATGGTGATTGCTGAGGCAGGTCTAATATAATCACAAGTGACCTTATAAGAGGGACAGAAGATGGGTTAGAATTAGAGAAGATGATATTACAAAGGGAGCAGAGATAGGAGATGTTCTTTGAAGGTGGAGGAAGGGGCTATAGGCCAAAGGATATAAGCATCTATTAGACACTAAAAAAGACAAGGAAGCAAACTTCCCTGAGACTCCAGGAGACTCTAGCCTGTAGACGTCTGGCTTTAGGCTGATGACATTGAGTTTGAACTTCTAGCCTGCAGAACTAGAGGGGGACAAGTGCTGTTTGCAGCCATTTGATCTGTGGCTATGGCAATTAATGGAGAGTTAGTTGCACTTGCTGAGAGATGATGAAGGAGCCAGTGACCAGTCCTGCTCAGTGACTCCAGCTTTGAGAAATGGATGAGCTGGGTGAGGAGTGATGATGGGGCCCTGAGGACGCCAGTGTGCTGGGGCGGATGAGCTGGAGCCTCTGGGAGATGTGTGCGTGTGTCAGAGAGAAGAAAGACCATGCCTTCTTCATGCATCAAGGGATTTTTCTGGGCGGATGACCCTCCAAAGGCATGTCAACATTTTTCTATCCAGGAAAAAACAACTCAGCATCTATGAAGAACTCAGAGTTTCACACGCACACAGGGACTTGTGGGTCCCAGCGAGACACAGCCTCTGTCATTTGCTCCAGGCATCTTTAATTTTCTTCAGGGGCAGTGGAGGAGCAAAGCTGAGGGCAGGGCTGAAGACTGTGGACTCCTGGTGACATCTGGATTTCTCCAGCGCTCTTGGGGTCCTGTGGAGCCAGCCCTCCTCTCCAGCATTTCCTACATCCATGAAGTCTCTGGGAAGATTTGACACATTTCCTAGCAGGGGAGCCTGGTTGGAATTTCCAGCCTGCTTCCAGATGTGGTGCTGACTGGGCTGCAGAGCCTCACTTTAGAAGGCATCTGGAACAGTGGGAATCTCCTTGGCCCCCCCCCAGTGCTGACCTATGCTGTCAGGCATGTCCCCCTTCCTCATGCTTTCCATGGGGGAGCCCATGGGTGTGGTTTCACCCACACAAAGAGGGCTGAAGCTGGCAGGGTATAGCCTCATCGTCAAAAGGAGGCCTGGTATAAGGACAGAGGGACCAAGGAGAGCTGATGGAAAGCCTCCAAAGAGCATCCGTAAGACCCAGGTGTGGTCAGGGGCTGGGTATGGACTGGGCTGGTAGGGGAGAGGGGAAGAGAGGGGCTCAGAGATCAATACCCACTAATAATGAGTTCTTGATCCTGGGCTGCTGGAGAGCAAGATGAAGGGCAGGCCCTTCACTAGTCAGAGCTGCTCCCTAGTGCCTGGAATAGCTCCGTTCCTGACACAGCACTGCCAGGGACAGAGGGTCCTCAACAAGGAAAAGTATCCTCAGAAGGGGAGCGTGTCCTCATGGGTGTCTCAGTAAAATGATGGAGAGTTTAAAATGTAGTGGTGCTGGAGAGATGGCTCAGTGGCTAGGAGCCGGTACTGCTCTTGCAGAGGTCTTGAGTTGGGTTCCCAGCACCCATGTCAGGTAGCCCACAACCACATGTAATTCCAGATGTTCTCCTCAAGTGTCTGTGGTCAACTTCACTCACATTCTCATACCCCAACACAGACAGACACACAGACACACAATTAAACATTTAAAAATGAAACCTAAAAAGAATGGCCCTCCACACCCCCCAGCAGGGCCTGCTAGTATAGGCCTGTAATCCCAGCTACTTAGGAGACTGAGGTAGGAAGATTGCAAATTTAAGGTCAGTCTGGTCTATAGGAGGTGAGTTCAAGACTAGCTTAGACAACTAACTTAGTGAGACCATCTCAATAGTAAGGCTAGGTGGTAGAGCTCTTGTCTAGCATGTATCAGGCCTCCGGTTCAATACCTGTTAGCTGAATGAAGGAAAAAAAACTGGGAGAAAGGAAAAGAACAAAAGAGTGTTACCTCCTTCTGCCAGCCATTCTTTTTGAGACTCAGAAAAATGTACCCTACCTGAAAGATGTGACATCCCAGTCCCCAGAACCCGTGCACATGTCACCTCACAGGCAAAGGGGCTTTGCAGGTGCAACTACACTAACGCTCTGCAGACAGGAAGAGTCGGGAGGATGTGGGCAGGGGTCTCTGTTGTCACGACAGTCCTCAGAAGAGAGAGGGTGGCAAGCAAGGGAGAGCCTGCTGCAGCAGGGAGGGATCTGAAGGTGCTGGCTATAGCTGACTCAAAGGCAGGAGTAAGGTTCTAGAACTAGGAAAAGGCAAGGGGGGCTTTGCTTCAGTACAGCCAGCTCTGAAGACCCTTAAGTTGAGTCCACCAATGCGACTCTTAGGAGTTGGCCCCAGGGGCTGTGTGATGAGTGGTGAGTTATAAGCCTCCTTGTGGGTTTGTTATAGAAGGATTGGAAATGAACACAGCCTCCTGGGATGGGGCCTAAAGTCTGCTTCACTTCCTCAGGTCAGGTCTGCTCACTACCACAGGCTGACCTGCCGCCTCAGCCCCGGTGAAGTTCCAACACAGACCAGAGAAGTTGCTGTCCATAGCTGGGGCTTCCAGAAGTGGCCCTGCCTTTGCCTGACAGCTGTGGCCTCTGTCCTCTATGGGTGAGCTAGTTACTACAAAGCATATGCTTTCTTCCTGCCTATCCTTTTCCCACAGAAAAACAAGGCCTACAGATTGCAAATGGAATCAGAATAGACCCAGAGCTCTGGCCATCAGTAACACCCACTGACAACGGGGTTTTAACGGACAAACGCAGGGGCTGTGCTGAGATGCCAAAATCCTCCCCCTCCTTTGACCTGTCACTTTCCTTTGTTGTCCCCCCCACCCCCACTCACCTTTTTTCCCCCCTTTTTTGGGACTAAAGTCTCACAATATAACCTTGGCCCAAACTCAGAGATCCACCTGCCTCTGCCTCCTGAGTGCTGGGATTAAAGGTGTGCACTCAGCTTCTCCTTCATTTTCTGGGAGGGTCTAGACACGTACACCAGGCAGGCGTCTTGAAATCATGGGCAACCCTTCTGCTTCTTCCTTCGGGGTGCTACAATTTCTGGTGTGCATAACACACCTAGCTTGTACTATTTATTTTTTCCTCTTTGCTCGAAAGCTCATGCATAAATTTATACAGGCATCCAGTGTACATGCTTACTCACAGGGCTGCGCACAGTGCCTACATGTGCAAGCAGGGTGCTTCAACATAGACCAGCAATCACAGTCTTGTTTGTAGATTCACGCCCACGAACACAGATACACTCATTTTATACCCACTCACAAGGATACACACAAGCACAGACACACCTATGCATGAGTAAATAAAGACCACCCATGCACGTGGACACCTGCAAACAAGGGTAGAGAGCTGTGTGCCACCTGCCCTGCCCCCAAGCCCTCTAGTCCTCTGCTCTGGAGACCTCTGCTGGTGGAGCCAGGAACTGCACCCAGACTCTGCGGATGCTGAACTGAGCTCAGCTGGAGGCTGGAGGGAGGAAGATGAGGAGTGAACCGGATCCACCCGGGTCAGATCCTGGGCTCCATGTTGCTGCTTCCACCTGGTTCATGCATGTGACTTTTTCTGCAGCTTCCACTGGAGTGCAGAAGGAGTCTTCATGAAAAGATCTCCCACAGGTTTCTTCCAGACCTAGGCCCACCCTGCCCAAGCAGTGGCCCCTGCTAGTGTCCCTGACACAGGGAAAAGGCCCCAGCATGGCTGCACGGCACACTCCTCTCAGTCTATGACAAGGCTTCACCTTGAACATATGGGGCACCCGTGCTGGTATCTTCCATTTTCTCCCTTCCTCTTGTGCTGCTTTCTAGTGGCACTAGGGACCTCGCCTCTCTCTCCGCTGTCATTGGACCTCTGACTTGGCTTGTTATAGCTCCTATTGTGACTATCACATGTCCCCTTGCAGGTCCCACTCCTATCTCCTTATACGTGTTCAAGGGGAGTGATGCTGGGACCTGGGAATAAGATAGATGGAATTAATGGTGAGTCTACCAGCGGCAGCCCTAGGCCTGTTCTCAGCCTCACTGTCTTCAGGAGGATTGTAGACCTTGACATTTTGTGTTTGGGTGACTAAATGAGACAGACTACTCAGTGCCCAATGTCAGGCATAAGCCATCTCTGTGAGGCATTCTGAACCACTGACAATGTAAGATGATGGAGAAAATTGGGCCAGATAACCTCACTGCAAGAAATGAGCATTTACTACAGCAACAGCCAATCTCTAAGAGGCTTGGGCAGGTCTAAAGAGATTTTATTTGTGTGGTTGGGGTATCAAGCTGGGATCACAGCTCAACTTCACAGAGGAGATGAAGTGGTGTCAGCAGGCATCCTCTCTCTGTCTACTCCCTCATCTCTCCAGGCAGAGATCATTTCCTCCAGGTTAGAATTGGAACTGACAGAAAGCAAATATTGGTTTGGTGGGATATGGTGTTATTGCCTGCCTGGCTTCCCACGGCACAGCAATGTTTCCTAGGGGCCCATGCTCACATGTAGAGGGTGCTAATGGCTATTACAGACCTGCCTCACCATCCCTCTGCTCTGCTCAGCCCCCTTGTATCCTTCCTCCTTGCCCTGTGTGCCCTCGGCATTGCTTTGGCATCCCTGCTTCACCAGGTCTCCTTTGGATGTCTGTGATCACACCAGCCCAACCCATGGGTGGATTTAGAATTCTTTCTGGGAAGTGGGTCCATATCCAGGCAAGAAGCTGATGGGATGGGGACGCAGGCAAACAAGTCTCAATGGGCAGAGTGCTTGCCTAGTATGCACACAGCCCTTCGCTTGATTGCCAGAACTGTGAAACTGAGTGTGGCTGGTGCTGTGCACCTGAAACTCTGCCATTCAGGAGGAGGAGGCAACAGGATCCAAAGTTCAAAGTCATCCTTGGCAATACAGTGAGTTCAAGGCTAGAGACTACAAAATGCCAGGTCTCAGAAATTTAAACACACACGAGTGTTCTCTCTCTGTCTCTCTGTCTCTGTCTCTGTCTCTGTCTGTCTCTCTCTCTCTGTCTCTCTCTCTCTCACACACACACACTCCAAGAAAATCACTCAGTATATGACTAGGTCTCCATTTTTCAAGCCAGATCCTAAATGTCTGTCTGAGCCACGGACAAACTGGGCTTTTCTCACATTTACATAAGAAAAGAGTAAACAACTCCATTGCAAGGCCAGTATTTAGGACTGGGAAAATGACTTGAGTCTAGAAAAGTTTGCTTGGTTTTGAGGCTGGTGCCCAGAGGAGAGCCTGGCTTTTTCTCAAGCATATGGGGTGAAGGGAAGGGCATTCGAGAGGAAACTTCCAAGTGCTTTTCAAAGACTAAGAAGTTGACTCTTTTGACATGTAAAACAATCTTGTTTCTAATTCAAATAAAAAAAATGGAAAAAAAAAAGAATGTCTAAGAATGAGGGAGAGGTTGGTAAGGTTGAGAGGGAGATAAGAGAAGCCTGGAAAGAAAGTGTAATGGGACTATATCAGATATGAATGTGAAGTTTTTGAATAATAAAATTAATCATTTTAAAAGAAAAATACATAAATAAACTGTTAGAAGTTGACTCTTTCCTGGAAATGGGGGCCGTCTTGGCCTCACCTCTGTCAGCTAGACAGAGCACACTGGCAAAGGCTCTCTGAGGCAGCCTTAGAAAAACAGTACTGCAAAGAAAGCCCATAGAAACTGTAATTGGAGTTTAAAAGATGCAGCCACACCGATCATGGCTTAAAATAAAAACAATCCCTCCCAAAGAGAAAAGAGATTGCAGTACGTACCCCACCTCCCAGACAGTCCCAAGGCTGGCCAACGCATGATACCACAAGCCCAGGACAGCTCGGTTGCTGTCTGCAGCAGGTGGAGGGGACTCAGGAGGCTTCAAGGAAGTGGGGAGCCCCAAGATCATGACTAGTTCAGATGCTTCCTCCGACTGCATTGGAGGATGTCCACCGCTTGGGTATCTTCTGCTTTCACCGGCCACCATCTCTGACTGCTAGTGAGGGGTGCATGGAGATGGGGCCACAAGAGGAAGATGAGACACAAAAGCCAGCTCAGGGAAGTCCTGGAAAGAGCCCTAAAGCAGAGGGAGGAGAACAATGGACCTTTGTTGTTGACGGAGAGTCCACCTCCGCTCACAGGTCCTGGCAAAGGGAGGCCTCAAGGCAAATCAAACACCACCCACACCCACGGCCTGCCCACAGAGGCAGGTGAGTCAGAGCCCCGGCTTAGCTGATAACAGTCCAGCAGCCCAGAATGCATCCCTTGTTGACGGTTGCCCCTACTCGCCCCCTCCTCACACACAGCTGGGCCTGCTGGAGCAAGCCTAAGGGTGGGGCTGACTGACAGGAAGCAGGGCTGCCTGGGAGAATGGCAGAGAGGCCCAGCAGATGGCCCTGCAAAGTGTTCTGTGGTAACTTGAAGACGCAGTGCGGCCAGCCTGCAGCAAGAAGAGTCAGCTAGGAGAAACCACATGTTTTCCTCCTGTGTTCAGGGCCAGCTATATTCTCTACCCAAATCCATTCATTTCTCGGGGTGGGGAGGGGCGGCGAGGAGAGGGCGGGGATACCACTTTCAGTACTAAGGCAAGACTTTGCTTAAGTGGCGGAAACTCGGCTTGAATCAGCTCGGGAAGAAAGGGGTCTTGAGAAATTGTTCAAGTGGGACGAGGATGAAGAAGGTCGGAGGGAGACCGGGGCATCTTCTGCATCATCTTCTCGCATCTCTCGGGGGCTGACTTCATCCTTCTGCAGATGGGCTGTGCATCCCACCCAACCTAGAGAGAAAGCAGCATGCCAGTCAGTTCAAGGTCACATCCTCGTGGTTGTGAGACAAGGATGGAAACGGTATCATTTGTTACCAGGTTTGATTAGAAAGTTTGTAACGACTTCTGGTGGGGCTCCCTTCAAACATGTGCCCAGATCTGGGCCAGTTGCTGTGGCCAGGGAGATAGAGGTCTTGCTATAATTTTCCCGATTATGTCCTTTGCCCCACCCATTGTCATTGGGTAGGATTACAGGCAGACACATACAAGAACCTCCTTGCTCTACTCTTGGGGTCTCATGTGGTACAGCTGCTGGTTGACCCTCACAACAATGTTACCTTTTCTCTGATAGATCAGGAAGTGTTTTCTGGAGCTGGAGAGAGTTCAGCGGCTAAGAGCACACATTGCCCTTATAGAGGACTGGAGTTTGGTTTCTCGAAACCATATTATATTAGGTGGCTCATACCACCAGTAACTCCAGCTCCGAGGGGCTCTGACATATGACCTCTCTGGGTACCTGCATTCATGTGTACATACTCACATTCAGACAACACACATACATGTAATTACAAAACAAAATTTTAACAAAGGTTTCTTCTGGATACATGGCTTCTTGAGGGAGGGTAAAACAAACAAAAACCCCCAAACTACATTTCCCAGACTCCCTTGCAGCTAAGGCTATGCACGGGTCTAAAAGTTCCAATCAATAATAGGGCATGCTCAAAGCTACGTGTGCCACTTACAGATGGTACCCTTAAAAGGAGGTATTCAGCCTCTCCTGACCCTCTTTCTCCCACTCAGAACAGGCTGCAAGCCTATGTCGGGTCATACATGTGAGGTCATATCTTGGGTCATATACATGAGGACACAGTCAAAGGGATGGTACTGTAGCAAGACAGTTAGAAGCAGCTGAGTCCTGGGTTCTATTCTGGCTCCAAACTGTTCATTCCTAGACTGTTATATAGAGGAACAACAATCCATTTAGAGCTGGAAACATGGCTTAGTGGTTAAGAGCATTTGACGCTCTTATGGAGGACTAGGGTTTGGATTCCCACACCCACCTTTCAGCTCACATCTCTTTCTTTTCTTCCAAATAGCTTTCCTTAGATGGAGCCTCTGTCAGAGCCAAGATGGTGCCGGTTTCCTCCGACTGTGACTAGAAGATGGTGAGACAGAAGGCAACTTTAGAAGGCAACAAACCTTCATACTGTCTTTTCCCAGGGAGGAGCCATGAACTTTTGGTGGCCCTTCTCCTCAAGCTGGAAGAACATTCGGGCTGGTGAACATTAACCCTTCTGCAGCCATGCCACGGTAAGAAGTTCTGATGCCCTCTCCTGGCCTCCCTGGGCATGAGACATACATGTAGTGCGTATGTGTACATGTCGGTAAAACAATACACTGTGTGTGTGTGTGTGTCTATATACATCTATATCTACACATATATATCTATATGTACATATTTTGTTTTTCAAGACAGGGTTTCTCTGTGTAACAGTCCTGGCTGTCCTTTATAGATCAAGCTGGCCTGGAACTCTCACAGAGATCTGCCTCCTAAGTGCTGGGACTCAAGGCATGCACCACCACTGCTCAGCAAGAATAAATATATTTTTAAAAACAGTAATCCAGGGCTGGAGAGATAGATCAGAGGTTAAGAGCACTGGCTGCTCTTCCAGAGGTCCTGAGTACAATTCCCAGCAACTACATGGAAGTTTGTAACCATTTGTAATGAGATCTGGTGCCCTCTTCTGGGCTGCAGAGATACATGCAGGCAGAACACTATATACATAATAAATAAAAATAAGTAAAAAAATAATAAAAATAAAGAACAGGATGGGATTTGTTTCCTGCTGTAGTTACTTCTGTCCCCAAAAAAAGGCCTGGTTGGTGGCCAGCTCTTTGCTGAGAGTATGGCAAGACAAATCATGGCGCTCTTCTCCCTCACCTTAAAAGTTATTCTCCCCTTCCCAGCTTGCTGGGCCCTGTCCTCTCCTGCTTCTTTTACTGTGATGAACACCACAACCAAAAGCAATTTGGGGAGAAAGGGGTTTATTTCATCTTATAGCTTATATCTATCATGAAGGGAAGTCAGGGCAGGAATTCAGCAGGAACCTGGAGGCAGGAGCTGAAGCAGAGGCCATGGAGGAGTGCCGCTTACTGCTTGCTCTCCTTGGCTAGCTCAGCTTGCTGTCTTATAGGACCTGCCAAGGGGTGGCGCCACCCACAGTGGGCAGGGCTCTCCCACACTAGTGATCAATCAAGAAAATGCCCCACAGGCTTACCAACAGGTCAGTTCTCTCTTCCCCCAGATGACACTAGCTTAGGTCACATTGACAAAAAACAAACAAACAAACAAAAAAACCCTAGCCAGCTGAGGTATATTCCAGTGTTCTCCTTGTGGCTCCGTGGAGGAGCTCCTTCAGAGTAGAGGCCATAGTTCTGCCCTTTGCTAGGTGGCCTGTGAATGGTGGAGCCATAGAGAAATACAAATCACTGCCCCCCCCCCCGCCTCCTTTGGAAATAGGAGGCTGTGTTCCTTTTTCATGTAAGGGCAGATAGCCCCCCCTCTTCCCATGAGCTGGGGAATCAGAGGCGTTGAAGTTACACAGAACCACACAAAGGAAGCCTCTGGAGACATTGCTGCTAGCCACCTCTTGCATCTTGTCTTTCCACTGCGTAATGGTCCATACCCATACTCCCACCCAGCTCTTCTTTGGCCCAAGTGCCTCAGGCCAGAGGCTTTGAAAGCACCAGTCTAGTAGGTTCTGGGTCCTTGGGGTGTGAGAGAGGCAATATGCTCTTATAGGTCAGCCACAGAAAATAATTGCATGGCTGTGTCTAACAACCCCCTACCTTCATCCTGCCCTTTCTTGATTGAAGAGGCATAATTGAGTTGAGCCAACTGGGAAAATTCAGAAGCAAACATTGCTTCAGACTACAGAAAAACAGGCTGGGCCTGGGGTGGGCTTTCTCCTTTCTGTACCAATTGTGTTAAAAGAACAATGGCAGGCAGGCCCAGGCCTCTCTTGCAGCTTTCCTTGGTTCCTAAGTGGCTGGCTTCACATCTCTTTTTTTCCTCCAAATAGCTTTCCTTAGATGGAGACTCTGTCAGAGCCAAGATAGCGCTCAGATTTCCTCAGATTGTGACTAGAAGAAGATGGTGGGACAGAAGGCAACTTTAGAAGGCAACAAACCTTCATACTGTCTTTTTCCAGGGAGGAGCCATGAGCTTTTGGTGGCCCTTCTCATCAAGCTGGAAGAACATTCTGGCTGGTGAACATTAACCCTTCTGCAGCCATGCCTCCGTGAGAAGTGTGCAGCTGTTCTTGTCTTGTGACCTTCCTGAGGTCCCAGGATCTCTCCCCTCCCACCTCAGGCAGCTTTACTCTCACCCCAGTTGAGCCTGTCCCCTTTTCTGGGCTTCTCCCTCTCTTCTTTTCATAGACCTTGAGGTACTAACTCCCTCATTCTCTGTACTTTGGGGGCAGGCCAGAAGATAGAGTTGTGTCAGTATTCCCCTGTGCCACCTCCTGCCCACTACTCTCCCCTCTCTCGACCCCAGCTTGGACACTGACACCCTCTACTTCCTGCTTTGCCCCGCCCCTTTTTTCTCTCTGCTCTTTCCAGCCTCTCAGACATGCCATGCTGCTTCATTTACTGAAGACTCCAGTTCCAGCCATATCCTTTTTTTTTTCTACCCTTACAGGAGTATTCTAGACAAATGGAATGACCTGTATTCACACTCTGGCTGCCAACTTTCTTCACCTTCACCTCTAGGCATTCTGGCCTCACCTATTCATGGCATGTGTATCCCTGGAGACTTTATGGTCACTATCACCTCAAATACTTCTGAAACTAGACTTCACCTCCCTCTAAGCACCCGTCACTTCTAGGCATTTCATCTCCATGGCAACACTGAATCTGGATTCATGGCACTCTCCAGCCTATATCCCTGTCCATGTTCTCTGTCCAGCATTTAGTTCTCTTCTTGTTCCCAGTAAGCTTTCATGGCTTATGAATGAATACATCATGGTATACTCACACCGTTGAATATTATATTGCAGGTGAAACAGACACAAAACAACGTGGATGAACCTTAGCCCCTTCCATGGTTTAAATGAGAGCAGCTCATCTAGGCACGTATGTTTGAATATTTGGCCTCCAGTTGGAAGAACCAGATGGGAAAGGTTAGTATGCGTGGTCTTGTTGGAGGAGGTGTGTCACTGGATTTGTGGTTTCAGAAAGCCCACACGTTCTCAGTTGGCTCTCTCAGATCATGTGGATCAGAGTGTGTGCTCTCAGCTACTGTTCCAGTACCACGCCTGCCTTCTGCCATGCTCCCAGCTATGACAGTGACCAACTGTAACCCCCTGAAAGTGTGAGCAGCACTTAAACTCTTTTATAAGCTGCCTCTGTCATGGTGTCTTATCACAGTAATAGAAAATAACTAAGATAGCTATACACAGCTAAACAAAAGGGCAAATCTTAACAGACCACATGGAGAATGAGGCCTTTTATCGGTGCTAAAGGCAGCTGATATAAAATACACAGATGTATTTTTTTTTAGGAACATAGAAAAGCAGTGAGTCATGTGATAAAGAAAGCAATATTACTCGTGGCATCCAGGGTGTTGGTCACCTTGGCTAGAAGAAGGCAGTGGGGTGCACTCTATGGCGAGATGTGGATCATTACCAATGCTTTTGTTTGTGTGGTATTTTTACAGGTGCATACTATGTCATTAAAGGCAACTAAGTAAAGGCAAACCATGCACAGACTGAGGAGTGTGTCTGGGAGCTGATGCTGAGTTGAAGGTATACATGGGTTGTCATTACACTGTCTTTTATAGATATGCCATGCATCCCTTATCAACCTACCAAGGAACCCGAAATCTCCCAGGATCCTTGCTGATAAAGCATCCCAGTTTCTTCAGGCAAAGAAAAATTCTATTCACTGTTCTCTGGGTCCCATCCCTTCTCATGATCTCAGGGGCTCTGTTTATTTCCTGGTTCCGGTGTTCTTATTCTCCATCAGGCTCTCCTTCCCTCCTGGGCCATTTTCACCAGATATGAACAGTCTATTCCCTATCATCTTAAAGACAAAGTCTTATTAGGGAGGATCGAAACTAGCCTGACACAACATATGGACCCATAAGTCAGTGTACCAGACAAGGAGATAGACTCTGGCAAGCAAGGTATAGGCAGGCAGCACAAGGTTCCACATGGCTGCTCCTTCTTCAGTGTTGCTCTACCATCCTTAACGCCCAGTTTGTTCCAAAAGGATACTCCAGCCACTGCCATCACTTCAGTCATTGGCCAGATGAAGATGGAAATGGAGAAAGAAGAAACGTCAATTTCTCTAGACACTGCCTGAAGTTGTGTATCCACCATGTTCACTCACAGACTTGGTCTTAAGGCATCTCTAGTGAAGGAAGTTGAGACATACCACACAATTATCAATAGGTCAAGTTAAATATGCCATTGCTAACAAGGAAGAAGAGAATGAATAGCAAAGCTGGTGTGATCTCTGCCTAAATGAACGCACATTCCCTTCCCTTACACAAAATGTGCTAATCCTTTCCTAAGTTCAAAACCCACAGGGTTTACCCAGTAATTACTGCAACCAGCTCAAAGCTAGACCCTCCTGGTGATTGTACGATGTTTACAGAACCTCAGCTATTGGTCCAGTGGCATATAATCAAAAGGCAGGTTGTCTACGTGCCTGCCTCCTCCAGCCAACCACCCATGTGCAATATACAATGGAGTATGAAACAGGATAACCACAATTAAAGGTTCTACTTGGAAAAGAAGAATGGGAAATACATAACAATTAGCGGATCCCACTGGGCAAGAATTGCGAGGGTTCCCGCCTCCTGCGGGGCTAAGTGCCTTAGGCCAGGCTACTGGGAAATATTCCTTTATCCATTCTTCTCTGTGGACCCTGCATCTGCCTTCTGGGAGGTCTTTATTAGTCTACTGTTCTCCAGGGCCACATGGGAAGAAGCCACTGGAGAGGATGTCGTCTACAGTGGTGAGAGTTCAGATGTCACAGCCTTCTTCCTTCTAGTGCAGGTTAGCCAGCTCAAGGCTCGCCTCGGGAATTGAGCAATCAGAGAGTTGTGTAGTTCAGGCTTGCAGACTTTTTGTCAACTAATTTCCCTCAAAAAAAAAAAAAAAAAACTTAGTTATAACAATACAAAAATTAAATTTAAAAAACAAATTCCACTTAGAACCGTATTGAAAATAACAAAATTGAAATAAATTTAACAAAAGAACTTGAAGATTTGCACACTGAGTAATTACAAACCATTGTTAAAAGAAACGAAAGAAAAGCCTTAACAAATGGATGCCCTGTGTTCATGCATTGAAAGACTCAATATTGTTAAATGGCACTATGCTTGAAGATGATCTGCAAACTTGAGTGCAAATCCTTTTAAAACTTAGATGTCTTACCTCTCCCCAAATCTGCAAACTGATCCTAAAATTCATACCGAATTATGAGACCTGAATGGCAACAAACAATAAATGGAACAATCCTGAGAGACAACCAAGTAGAAAGATTCACACTTTCCTATTTTAAAAATGTATTACAAAGCTGTGGTGATGTCCATGTAGTGGGGGCATCAACATTGTCATGTAGAGCAATGTGAAAGCATTGACGGTCCAAAGAGATGATTAGACACATGGCTAACCGATTTTCCAAAAAGGAGCCAATAAAATTCAGTGTGGGAAAGAACAGTTTTCAATAAACAATGCTGGGACAACAGTATTCCTATTCAAAGATGTAACAGGACCTCTACACCACATACATAAATCAACAAAGAGGCTGGACAGATGGCTTGGTAGTTAAAAGCATGTGTCACTCTTGTAGAAGACCTGGTTTCAACTCCCAGAACCTACAGGCAACCTTGGTAAAAGGTTGTGAGGTAATTTCACAACCATTCATAGCTCTAATTCCAGGGAATCCAACCCCCACTTTTGTCTTCCTCAAGCCACCAGAAATGAATGTGGTGCATATAATACATGGACACAAAACACTCATATATGTAAAAATAAAATAAACACATCTAAAAGAATTAACCAAAGTGGAGCATATCTCTGAGTGTCAAAGACAAAACAGTGACTGAGAATCAAATATTCACCTCTTAGATTTCACACCAAGGTATAATCTAACACCAGACAAATAGGTTTCATCAAAGCAATACAAATTTGTACTTGTACTACCAAAACAGTGAAAAGATGACCCACATGGTGGGAGAAAATATTTGCAAATTTCTTATGTGAGAAAAGTGTATATGGATATTATAAAGAACTCACAATTCAACAATAAGATAGCAAGACATGATGGCGCATGCTTGTAAACTCAGCTGGGGAGTTTCTGCAGGAGAATCATTGTATGAGATCAAACTTACTACACACTAAGTTCCAAGCCAGCCTGGGTTAGAAAATGAAAACAAAAAAACACAAAACAAAAATACAAACAAACAAAGGATGTTCCTTCAGAGAAAAAGACAAATGACAACCCTGTCCCACCAGCATCTGGGAGGCTGAAGCAGGAAGATGACTCAAGACTGTCTTGAACCACTAAGTGGGTTGAAGGCCAGCCTGGGTGACTTAATGAGACCCTGTTTCAATATAAAAAGGGCTGGGAATACAGCTCAATAGCTAGTATTTAGCTATCACATCGAAGACCCTGGGTTCAATTCTAGCCAGAGGCAGAAGAGGAGGACCACCCAGTCTTTTAAACAAATGTAGAGGATTTGAAAGACATGAGAAGTCAGTACATGGAAACACACTTGATGTCACCACAATAAAACACTCAACACCACTAGAATAACATTTTTAGGGGGCTGGAGAGATGGCTCAGTGGTTAAGAGCACTGACTGTTCTTCCAGAGGTCCTGAGTTCAATACCCAGCAACCACATGGTGGCTCACAACCACCTTGAATGAATTTGGTGCCCTCTGCTTACATGCAGCCAGAAAACATAATATATAAATAAAATCTTTAAAAAAAAAAAGAATACCATTTTTAAAAGTTGGGGTGGGAAACAGGTCATGACATGTACCGGAAAGGATGCAAGAAGGTGGAACCCGTGCTCGCTGTTGGTGGTTATGTTAACATAATACATTGCAGCCTCTATGGAATATAGTTTGGCAGTTCTTGAGTAAGTTAAAGATGGGATTACCTTCTAACCCTGGAATTCTAACCATTAGGTATCTGCCCAGAAGAGAGGAAAATATTCATAACAAAATTATTTATAATAGCCTGAAGTAGAAGACCTCAAACATATATCAGCTGATAAACAGATAAAATGTTTATATATGTATATACACACATATTCACAGAAGATTAGTCAATAAAAAGACATGAAATGCATGGATTAAACTTAAAAACATTATGGTAAGTGAAAGAAGCCAGAAATGAAAGTTCACATGTGTGATTCCCTTGATATGAAATCCTCAAACCCACACAGACACTATAAAATCCCCAAATAGGCAAAGCCATAGAGACGGTAGATTAGTGGCTCCCAGGGGTTGGGAGGAGCTGGGGAGTGACTGTAATGGGTATGGGGTTTCCTTATGTAGCAACAAAGTACTCTGCCACTGGACAAAAGTGGAGTGTGCACAACTCTATGGACATCACACAACCACCATGCTGTGTATGTGAAAAAGTCGTAAGATTTTTAACAATGCATCTGACTGTAGTTCAAAATTAACTGTTAAAAAGGTACATGGTCTAGTTGGTGTAACACAAATTGATAAAAGACCCAGAGACAGATACTAGTGTTCAAACTGAAGATCAGTAAAGCAAAGCAGCTAGTCACTAGCTCTCACCTCTACCTCAGGCTGAAAGGACAGATCCACACAAGCCCTTCACCAAGTCTCAAACTGCTGCCTCTCCTCAGTGTGGCTGGAGAATGAATGCCTCATACTGACTCCTTGTCCTGTCTTATATACCTCTCATGAGTACTGGGATTAAAGGTATGAGCTATAATTCTCTTTTAGACTGGCTCAATCTTGTGTAGATCTGGGTGGCCTTGTATTCACAGAAATTCATCTACCTCTTAATCCTGAGTCCTAGGATTAAAGGTGTGTACCACCACTTCCTAGATTCTGGCTGCTGGGATTAATGGGGTGTATCACCACTGTCTGATCTCTATAGCTTGAGGCTGACTTTGCTTTTCTGAATCCTCAGTCAAGCTTTAATAAATCATAAATAATACATCACTACAAGTCTATCTTCATCCAAACATTCTGTTCCATGAAAAGATAGCTTGGTAAAAATAAACAAACCAACTAACCAAACAAACAAAACACCTTTCCTGACATAGTTCAGAAGTTCAAGGTCACATGTATGAATACTATCATTAGTGTGGCCATCTCTGCACTCTATGTATTATGTCCACTACACCCTCACTCGACTTTGTGCTTGTTTTGTTCTGGGAGTTAGTAAGAATATAGCCTCCTTAGTCTGCTTTTGGCTGCTGGGTAGCCTCCTGTTGCCTGCCAGGGAATTTTTAATCATTATCATCATCATCACCATCAGCATTATCACCACCATCACCATCATCACCTCATCAGCATCAGCATCAGCATCATCCTCATCACCATCATCACCGTCACATTCATCACCAACATCATTTTCATCAACATCATTACCATCACCACCATCATCATCAACAACATCACCATTATCATCACCATCACCATCCTCCTCCTCTCATCCTCCTCCTCCTCTCATCCTCCTCCTCATTCTCTCATCATCATCCTCATCATCATCCTTGTCATCATCATTCTCATCCTCCTCCTCCTCCTCATCATCATCATCATTAGCAGCAGTAGTAGGCAAATGTTCCAATACCAAACTATAACCTTCACCCCTGCCAGGGAATTCTTCAGGGGAACATCTTGGGGGTCACAGGCTTATCTTGGGGGACAGGTGCTTCTTTGGAACCCCTGCTATCACAGCTTCAGTTTGGAGTGCAGAAGCAGTTGGTTCCCTTAATATAGTACAGCTGTACTCTCTCTTAAGCTTTGGCCATCATCATTATCCTCATCATCACGGTGAGGAGTCGGTCCATCAGCAAAGCTGCCTTTCTTCTCTGCTTGCAAACTGTTGCATCTGTCCAGAATTTGTCTTATTGGGCATTGCTTAGTGTGGGAAGCTGCCAACAGCCATCTACATTTGAACTTTTATAATGACCTTTTCCAACCCCCGCCTCCGCAGACCTTGGAGCTCAGGAAACATGGGGCTGCCTTGGAAGCTATTGCAGATCACCAAATGTTATGGAATTGTGTCACTAGCTTTCCTATCTGAAAGATTTGCCCACTCCCCCATGCAGGCCCCCAGGTTGTAAAATCTTACTATTCACCTCTCCCACAATGCTCTACTTCTAAATACTATGTTCTATGTTAATGAGAATGTAATTTAGATCAATGTCACACCTTGTCTCAAACCTTAGTGGCTTAAACAGTATAGGAGTTTGTTTTTTCTGTCATGTAAGTTGATGTCGAGAGGTTCTGCCGCATGGAAAGACTCCAGATTTTTGTGTCTTATTTATTATTCTTCATTATTCTCAGTTGTTATTCTCACCACATTTTAAATGAGAGCACTGTTACAAGTGGGCTTTCTCAGGAGATGAACTCAGAGATGGGGAGTGGGAACAAGGGGAGGGAGAGAGAGAGTTGTAGGTAGGCTCTCAGTGGGGGAGTGATCTCTGGATTAATGGTTACAGAATGAGAGATTGTAATAGGACAGGGCTAAAGGAGAAGTTGGGTTTTAACACAGTCATAATAGAGGCCTGATGGGGGATGTCCTTCTGTATATATGCTTCTCTTATTGATTGATGCATAAAGCAGTGTTGACCAGGAAGATAGGCAGGACTAGGAGATGAGGAGAATTCTGAGAAAGTAGGCAGAGGGAGCCCTCCAAAAGAGTCACCATGTAGGCCGCCAAAGGAGTAACAGATCTGGACATTCTCCGGTAAGATAAGACCATGTGGAAATACTTAGATTAATAGAAATGGGTTAATAATTAAGACAGAGCTAGCCAATAAGAAGCCCTAGTTATTGGCTGGCAGCTTTATAATTAATATAGTGTCTGTGTGTTTATTTGGGGCTGAAGCAGTGGCGGGACCAGCCAGGTCAGAAATTCCAACAACAGAGGCCAACCTCAGGGGTTGCTGTAGTGAGGGAAGCCTTTGTTATTCTCTGAGGAAGGAAAGACAGTGGGCTCCTTATCCAACCAGTCATGAAACTCAGGCCTCATGTAGCCCCTTCTTTCCTGGGGATGCATGTAGAGAGTGGTGACTTTGGGCAAGGTCACTTCTGTGGATCGCTCAAGCCAGTAGCTTGGGAAAGAGTGTCTCAGTTTTGACTCCATGTGTTTCTCCAGCCACTATTCCATCTGTCTACTCCTCCTCCGAACCTGGCATTGCCATTTCTGTGCCTTTGGTGTTAGTTGTCTCTTCTGCATGGATGGGTGAGTATTAAATCTAGGTGTGTGGAGGTAAAACGATTACGTTCAGTCTGGTATTGAGTCAGAACATGCCTAGAGCCTGAGACATGGATGGATCCATGTTTGTTCTCATAGTCTCTCTGAACTCAGTCTCTCCTATCTCCCATGGCTGCTTCTCTCTGTGTTAGCCTCATTCTCTGGATGCCTCATTTTGTGTCATAGCAAAGATGCTTTGGATAATGCCAGGCTTACCTTTCCTTATAGCTCATGCCCTGGGAGATGGATGCAACTCTCTCCTTTAGTGTCCCTCAGGTCGTCCTTTGCATCATGAAGACCAATCTTCATGTCCAAGAATAAGTCTTCATTTATCTATCCCGAGTCTGTCTTGCTCCACAGTGCTGGAAGTGAGGCCGTTGCCAGCACAATTAGGAAGTTCTGCAGTTGGGGGACAGGCAGAACCCTGAAGGGAAAGCAAGGCTCTGCTTGTAAAAGGAAAAGGGATGCTGATATTGGAATATCCTCTTGAAGGTCTTCAAACATAGGTTGTCCACAGTTGAACGCCTGGCTGTCCTCTCAACCTCAACAACGGCCGGACATGCTGCCTCCTGTAGGATGAATGCCTGGGAGTCAAACCTGGAAAACATCAAACTCTGTCCTTCCTGGTTCAGCCTCTTTGGGGCTTAATATCAACTTGAAGGATCTAGAATCATCCAGGAGACAGGCCTCTGGGCATGAGGAACTTCTAGATGGATTAATAAAGATGGGAAGGTCCACTGGAATTTTGGGATTAAGGTGGGAAGATCCACCTTAGCTATGGGTAACATCATCTCCTGGGCTGGAGCACAGGACTGAAAACAAAGGAGAAGCCAAGCTGAGCATTCGTCTCTTTCCACTTCCTGACTGTGGATGGAATGTGATCAGCTGCCTTGAATTTCTGCCACCATGCCATCCCCACCATGGTGGACTGAACTCTTACTCTGTGAGCCAGAATGTACCTACCCTTCCTTCTTTATACTGCCTTTGCAAAGCATTTTGTTACAGCAATAATAAAAGTAATCAAGAGAGCAACCTCACCGCATCTGCAGATCCCATTGTCCTGGTCTCTGAGTCAGTGCCCATTTTTCCACTGCTAGAATTCTCCAGCCTCAGCCGCCTCTTCGCAGTGATCTCCCAATGGTTTCCCCATCACTTTCCCATGGGTGGCAAGCTACACCTATTCTTCAGACTGCCCTTTACACAATGACTAGAGTGAATGGCAAATAAACTCCAGTGCAGAATAAATCAATCAATCCAGTGATTATTTTTCATCCAGTGAGACCTAGGATAGAATGCATTGGTCACTTCTCATGGCTGTCATGACATGATGAGTGCTTAGGTGCCTGTTTCCTTCCCTGACCTTGGGGCTCTGAGGCAGCAGGGGTTCTGTCAGGCATATAAACCACCACATCCTGGTCACTATTTGGAGTGAATATCCCTGAGCCAGGATGCTGGCTTGGGAAAGGAGCTTTAGACTTTGGGAAGTAGGCAATGAATGCCCTGGGAAGAGCAGAAGTGAGGGAA